ACATTGATGTTGCTATCCACTTACGCCTAACCCTATGCTTCTTTTAGGTTGCAGGCAGCTTCGAGAAGAGGAAGATTCCCACCTCCGACATGGCCACTATTCTGGCTACAACTTCCACGGCTGTCGTAAAGGCTTAAAATCCTCACCTACTGCAGGAAAGCAGGTGAGGGATACAATAGAGAGGGTCAACAAGGAGGCTTCCCCCCAGGAGGAAGGGCGTCCACCCCTCATTGACAAGTGGTGGTTGAGGAGCCCAAAAAGAAGTTCAGGGTGTCCACCACTGGGGTGGGCAGCTCTAGTGACATCCCCCTCCTTGCTTAGAGGTGCCTACCGGGCAAAAACTATTGGCAGCATCCATAGCTGTGGCCACTAGGGGTCAGAAACGGCCAGCCTCCTTCGAGCTTCAAAATTAAGAACCCGCCGAAGTCCAAAACTTCTAGCGACACCACTTCGGATCGCACTCAAGGTAGGCCTCCCTTGGCTAAGATAACTGATGAATTGGAGCCCAAGCCCCTTGACCTTTTGCCTCCGAAGATTCAGACGACCACGATAACATTCCACTAGTTCTGGACTACAAAATGGCAGAATTTTGTTAAGACAAGTGATGTTGTGGACATCGTGAGGTGGAGGCTCTCTTCAAGACCATGCAGAGGAAGAATTGGGAATTCGTGGGTAAGGCATCCCAGGCCAAGGAGCAGGTAAGCAAAGCCAAGTCTGAGGCTAATGCTTTAAAGAAGAAAGAGGCTGAGGAGTGGATGAAACCTACTTCCACTTTAACGGAAATTGAGGCTCTGAAGAAGAGGTCCACTAATCTTAAAGTGAGATAGCCTCATTGACGAAGCGAGTGGAGACTTCTGATGCTCATCAGAAGATAACAGCCGAGGCCCTTGAGAAGGCCACCAAAGAAAAAACTGAGTTGACTGGGCAGGTGGGGGAATTGACCCCCAAGTGGGCAAACTGGGAGGAGAAATTGAGTCAGCTCGCCTCGACGCTGAGCGTGATTTTAAAGAGGTCGATGCTCGATTTTTAGCCAACTTCCATTTGACAGAGGCATACCAACGTTGTGGTGTATACTGGAGGAGGTATGCCTATACCGAAGTTATCGAATGGATTGAAGCGCATACTCAGCACGACACCTCTTGGCTTAGGTCTAAGTTCCTCGATGAAAATGATAAGGAAGAGGGATAGGCTCATACACCAGCAGAATTGAACCAAGTAATTGATTTAGACAAAGAGGCTACTGAGGGGGCTACCGATGATAAAGTGACCCCAGGGGCTATAGTTCCTTTTCAGGCTACCCAACCCCCACCCCAATAGGCCGTGGTGTACTTTTTCTTTTCTTTATGGCTTCGACCTATTTGAAAAATGTAACTTGTTT